TGTCACTAATAGCAATATGCCAACGAGGATGGCATGTACGTAGATGCCATGCCCACTGTGAGTTGACTTGTTTGATTGTTTTTACACATAGATGGCTACACTTGTCCTAAGTCACCAATGAGCCAATTACGAGAACTGCCTGTCTCACCTGTTAATATTTAACGTTATCCTAATTTGCTATCAGTAAGAATACGTTTTTTCCCACCAATTCAAGGAAAGGTGAAATCAGGCCTAGCAGAGCCATCTATGTACAGAGATATTTCACAAAAATATAAAAAATGAGTACGGCATTTTTCCCATTTTTTGTTCATTTTCCCTGGCGGCAATGGGTTAATGGCATTACAGAAACATTTTGCCCGAAAACTCAAGAAACGGGGAAATCTGGAGGTGATTAAACCATCCACATTGACTAATTGCTAGCTAAGTGATTGTGGAGCCATCTATTACTATAATAACTCTAATGTGGACATTAAATGTTCCCAATGGCAATAGGTTAAAACAAAAATAAAGCTAAAATTAGGTAAATTGATGTAAACCTGGAACAAAGCACCAAACAGAAAATACAGATTTCTTTCTAGCATGTTCCATATAATGTAACACGAGAACTGTCAAACCTGAGATAGTTTCACCTACGTAACAATTAACCCATTCGCCCCACGTGGCAATAATAGATGCCATGCCTACTTTGATACACGTTTATTTATTATATTCACACATATATGGCTCCATAAGTTCTTAATCACCAAATAACCAGTTATCAAGAACTACCTATTTCACCTGTTTACCCTTTTCCTTCCCTTTAGGAAAAGTTTTTTTGTATCATTTCATTGTCTAAAATATTCTAATGACAATTTAATAAACCTAACATCAATAACAATAATAACAGTATCGATAGCATTGGTGTTAATTTTCCCACCAATTCAATGAATGGGAAAATCAGGATCGGTAACTAGGGCCTACTGACAGACTCTTCGCTGGCTGAGCACATGGCGACATCTGTATGTAACCAAATTTACCAAAAGCTACAGGTGACAGAACATAAATCCGGGGCGAATGGGTTAATTGTAAAAGATGTTTCTAATAAAAACACATAATAATATGATATTAACATCAAACAGAAAAAACTGATGAAAGGTATAATGCATTTCTAAAGGAGTGGCCCCCTTAAACTAGCATTTTTTCCATCATTTCTTGTATTTCTGTTTTAAAATGGGCTGACCCCATCACACTACCAAAGCAACAATCCTAATGCCCATGTAAACAAACATCACACCAGCAATCTCACACTTATCACATTATTTTAAGGTATTATAATCATGAATACTGTATATAGAAATATTCTAGAACATCAACTTAACCCATTGCCGCCGGGGAAAATGATGAATAAAAAATGGGGAAAATGCTGTACTCATTTTCTATATTTTTGTGAAATGTCTCTGTACATAGATGGCTCTGCTAGTCCTGATTTCGCCTTTCATTGAATTGGTGGGAAAAAATGTATTCTTATTAGTGTTATAAATATAGATGGTGTTATTTTAACCCATTGCCGCCAGGGAAAATGAACAAAACATGGGGGAAATGCAATACTCATTTTTTATATTTTTGTGAAATATCTCTGTCCATAGATAGCTCTGCTAGTCCTGATTTCACCTCTCCTTGAATTGGCGGGAAAAAACGTATTTTTACTAGTGCTATAAATATAGATGGTGTTATTTTTAACCCCTTGGTGCCGGGTGACGCCGATCGGCATGCAAACAAAACGTTCGAAAGCTGGCGTACAGCCAAACGAGCCGTCGGCGCTCCAAAGCGTGGCGAGCCAGTGATTCGGGCTGATATCCCCTACTCACGCGTTTGTTTAAGCGTAGAGTTTTAGAGTTTTTTTTGTTTTGTACACCCAGCGCCATTGGGTTAACAGCAAATTAGGATAACGTTAAATATTTCGTAAACCGATGAAAAGGGTGAAGGGGCGAGACAGGCAGTACTGTAATTGGCTCATTGGATACTTAGTACAAGTGTAGCCATCTATGTGTAAAAACAATCTAACAAGTCAACTCACTGTGGGCATGGCATGTACGTACATGCCATCCCCGGCGGCAATGGGTTAAACATTAAATTAGGATAACGTTAAATATTTTCATAAATCGATGAAAAGGGTGAATAGGCAAGACAGGCAGTACTCGTAATTGGCTCACTGGTGACTTAGTACAAATGTAGACATCTATGTGTAAAAACAATCAAACAAGTCGACTCGCAGTGGGCATGGCATGTACGTACATGTCATCCCCATCAGCAAGGGGTTAAGTTAATATTCTAGCTGCAGCAATCATCTGTAGTAAAAAGATCATTATAATTTTCTTCTGAGAGGCATGTACGTGATATTTACAGAAAGCCTCAAAATCCCACGGAAATGAAAAAAAATAAGGGAAATAGTGATAGTGTGATAGGGCGTTAACCAAATTAGTTTTCTATGTTACCACACACAAGATGGAAGAGCAAGATCAGTTACAAAGTTGCAAAGCCTGTGATCACCATCATCTTTCTGTTTTCAA